CATTTGAAGTGTTAATTTGCATGTATTAGTCGCAGAAAATTTTAATTTCTCATAGTAGAACTATTATGTTGTAGTTGTAGCATTGCACCATCATATCTGCAACCAAAATTAATCAGGGCCATTTTTTCATGCATGTGCCCTATGAGACCTGAACTGTGTTCTGCTGAACATTCACATCGATCTGCTTTGTTTTTCCTTCTCTTTGTTTTTATTTCAAAACTGTTGTCACAGTCTGATAGCCTGTCTTATTAATATGCCATTAGCATGTGTCTTCACTGATTCCTTCTTCGACTAACGAGATATATTGTTTCTATATAGTGTGTGGATCGAGCAATTATGTATTGACAACTTGTTCAGATCGGAGCAGACTTCGGGGTGCTGACCGAGCGGATAGCTAGGAGACCAGGCAGGCAGCATCGCTTCTTATCTGCCTCCTCAAAGGAGGAAGAGGTGTGAAGCGAAGGCAAAGAGGAAATAAGGTCAGTGCCTGCTTGACTACTTATTTTGATTCTTATGATGAAAATATGAGAATACGAGAATGGTTTGTCCATATCATCAGCTCATAAGATCAGCATCTGATGCCTTTCCTTCTCATGCGGACGAGGGCTCCATCAGGGAAGCCATGCCAGCGATTGTGCCCATGAGGTGGCGTGGAGCCTGGCCCATCTCAGATGAGCGCAAGGTGTTCGTGGGAATGTTTCTCAAGTCGCCTCTCTTGCCTAGCTCGGTCTCATTGGAATTCTCAACTGACAAGGATCATGCGCGTTCCCAATTTGCCATGCTGAGGTGCTGTACAATCTGGAACAGGCTTGCATCTACTAGCTATTCCAGAGTCTCCAGTAGGATTTTTCTGATGCTGCACCGGGTCCCATTGCTCTGTCTGAGGTAAATTCTTATGCGCTATCTCTGCTTTTGTTCGTCTCCGTTTCTGCAGATCTAGATTTCTGCACCATTTCTTTGTGGATTGTTTGATCGACAAGAATACCATATGCACGCACCACTGAACAAATTGGGACTGCGGTCTTATGGTCATGTATAGGCATATGGCACAAGTGTACCAGCCTGCAGGCACAGCTTGTTCAACGGGTCCTAGATGATCATTGAGCCAAGGCTAAACCGAGACGGCTGCGTTCAGGGCTGTGTTCAATAGGTTTAAAATATTGTTTTTTTATGAGACTAGTGGCACAATATTGTTCAGGGCTGTGATATGACAGCTGCGTTTTCAAATTCAAATCATTCTTATATTCTAATCAGAACACTATGTACGCTGACAATATTGCATTCAGACGTGATGGGTACTCCGCTGAAAATGAAGGAAGGGTGAATTTTCTGGTACGCGGCAGCAAGCCACCTCATCTGTGCTTTTTTAACATGAGAACCAACAAAATGGGTTCCATTGTTAATCCATTTTTCTACGGCATGTTGCCTTCAGTGTAGTTGAAATAATCTGTGCTTTACAAAATGAGAACCAATAATCCAGATTCAAACACAAGGAACTAATTTTCCATCTCATTTTGCCTAGTGGTAGTTGAAATATCAAGATCGAGCTCATCAGAAATGCTGCACGCCAGAAAATAGAATACATGATGGTTCAATGTTTCTGTTGGACTGGAAACCAGCAACAGGCAGGTCTTTATTTTTAAAATTAAGACCTGGAGCTAGACGGTAACTATGGTCAGCCTTTTTTTATGGATCCTCAACTTATCATAATACAGCATGCATTAGTTGGAACTCTGGAGAGTCAGGCTCTTACATCCTCGGTGGGCTATTTCAAGGCGTGCCTGAGCAGATTGAAGGATTGTCAAAGTAAAGCTAAGGTTAGTCATCTTACGTTCTTACTCGAGTGTATGTATGCCCATTTCCTGTTCCTTGATCATCATATCTTAGTAGTTCTGATGATACACATACCATGCTCTGTCGGTAAGAAGGTGAGAGATGGCGCTATGCGGGATGGCTGCCAACATAACACAGCTCCTAGGGGTGGACTTATTTGGGCTGATTAGCATGATCGAGAAGGCTGCGCGGACGGTAAGCCAGAATGAGGAGGCGTGCAGACAGATCACTGACCGTGCATCGATGATCAAGAATCGGCTGGAACAGTTACAGCAAGTCTCAAGATCCTTCGAGCACCCGGAGATGTGGAAGCCGATGAAGGGGCTTAAGAGCACCCTCCGCAGAGCATACCGGCTCATCATAGGCTATCAGCATAGCAGCTACATGTACAAGTTCTGCTGTGGCTCTGATCTCGCCAACGAGTTTGAGTCAGTGCAGAAGGATATGGATCTCTGGAATCAGCATCTGACTGATTTGAAAATGGACATCCAGTTCGAACTCACAGTTGTTGACACGCGGAGCTTGCATGGAAAAAGGAACACCATCAAGCAGGTAAATGTACAATGACTACAGTAATCTCACCTCAATTTGGCAAGTAGTGTTAGTGTAGCACAGTTTTGTGGTTAAAACGAAAAAAAGGAAAAAATCAACAGTCCGTGATTTATCATTGTTCATTCTCACCAGTACTGTATTAACAACATGATATTTGTTGATTATCCCTATTTTCTTGTTTTAGGATGGTGCTCATTTACCTCCTGCAGGGTCGCCAGCTAGTCATTTGAACAACAATAACAGATGCAATGTTGTAACATTTATTTTCATCTTTACTTCTTCAAGAATTTATAAAGAGTTCATATCATATTTCTTTTAAATGCCTGGCGACGATGATAGGGGAAAACTGGTTGGCGATTTAGGACAGTTTCAACTGCTTGCAGATCCATCAGGTACTTCTGTTTTAGGCATAGTCTTAATTATATGATCTTATTATCTCGATATGATATTTAATATTAGCTTTCAAGCTTTTGTACATTTACTGCACTAAGACTAAGATAACATTTTATGCATGCTTCAAGATATTGTTGAAGATTTTACAATAAAGAGCCAAATATCAAGGTGCTGCTGTTGGTGTCCCAACATCAGCTACAAAGGAACAGGTATGAGCTATACATTAAAATTTGGCATCATGCATTCCATACTAATAGTAATAGCATACATTTTCAGTGCCAGGAAAACCATACTAAATCAATATTTCAATGGTCCACATTCTTCTAAACAACAGGTCTTACCAAGTTCAGTTTCTCTCAGTTGGCACATGCGACAAATTACTTCTCACTGGAAAATAAAATTGGATTCGGTGGCTCTAGCCATGTTTACAAGGTACTGCTTTACAATTACACCTGCTTTGCTTTTCATCTCTTTTCATGTTCCCAAAACAGCTTTTCTCTAGTGCGCAGATGAAGTAGCAACATTACTCTGTGTTCAGCTATTCCATCCTTTTTTTCGAACAAAGCTGCATTATTACTTGTAATTGGCGTTTACACTTTTCAGGGCCAGCTAAATGGGTAAGTGAACGTCTTCGAATAGAGCGCAAGTTCACATGAAACATCTCACAGTATTCTTAGTTCATCATCTAATCAGTAGTAGCTTCTTTCAGGCGTGGGACTTATGTGCAGCAGGAGAGCTGCTGGAGTTCATCGATCCATCGCTGCATGACGAGCCTCAAAATGCCGAGATAATGAGATGGGTTAAGATAGCACTCCTATGCGTTCAGGAGGATCCGGAGAAGCGACCGAGCATGTCCGATGTTCTTGAAATGCTGGGCTATGAGGACGACATCGAGAAACAACCCAGCCGACCTGCTTACTACTGAAATAGAGGTTTCATATGCTGGTTAAGCTCAAGCTGAAGATCAACAATTTGAGCTGAAACTGGACCGAGCTGAAACATAATGTATGCATGTATTCTCTGAATGCTGATGCTACAGTGCCATAATTTCCATTAGAAAAAAAAAACATGTATTGTTCTGCATTTTGTGGTGTTGCTTCACATTAGAAAAAAAAACCTCTCAAGTTAGTAATTCTCTATGAATGTGCCAGTGGTTTGTTGGTGGTAAGCTACATGCAGTCACTGTTCACTATCTGGCAACATCCTCATCAGGATATTGTCAAAGGGAAGGCAGTGGCTCTCATAACTGTTGGCCTGTTGCATGCTCTAGTTGTGTCCATTGGAGAAAGATACGATACGATAACAGATACCTTAATGTCCTGTATGGAAAACTGAAGAACTTCAGCACCGTTGAGGCAACCGGCGAAGCGGGTGTGTGCAAGATTGCTCGAGATCAAGATGGCAATGCCATTTTCTGTGCCTGACACATTGTGTCCTCGTGCCCTAGAGATGAAATTGCTGCATGGGATGGATTGTCATCAGCTTTACCATGCTCTCATTTACTACTAGCAGTGATGGAAACTGATTGATTGTCTGCAGGTCATTGCCTGCATGAGCTCTCTTCCGATGAGGTACTGAAGACAACGACCCACCCAATAGCCAGCTCGCTTATAAAATTCATGGTGAGAAGAGGGTCACTTTCCTTACCCCCGTAACAAAACAACACCAGCGAGCACTGGCGTGCGGGATTAGCATTAGCAGGTTATGAGTTGTTTGTGTCATGGGGCGCTGAATCATTCACAAATTCATCCATCATCAGGTCTCTCTCAAAGTCTCATCAACTTTATTTCCAAGCCAAGGACTTGGTCTTCCTTGACGCTATGTTCGTTACCTTCTGAGAAATTTCGTTTGACGCGGTAGCCGCAGCTCAATGGCGGATCCCCTTGGCGAAGCTTGACTCTACCTACCTGGTGCACGCAGCTGGGATCGACGCGCAGAGCCGCAGAGCGCAAGTCCACCAACTGCTGCATGCGGATAGCTAGAAGACAAGGCACGCATCGCTTCCTCTGTGCCTGCTGAAAGGAGGAAGAGGTGTGAAGCGAAGGCAAAGAGGAAAAATAAGGTCAGTGCCTGCTTGACTACTTATTTTTATCTTATGATGAAAATATGAGAATACGAGAATGGTTTGTCCATATCATCAGCTCATAAGATCAGCATCTGATGCCTTTCCTTCTCATAGTCTTGAAGATTATTGTTGTTGCAGACAACCGCACAAGAGCAAGATGGCTGACATTGCATTGGGCAGCGTGGGGAAGATTGTTGAAATCGCACTCAAGATCAAGGAGGCCGTGGAGACGGTTCAGCAAAACGAGAAGGAGTGCCACGACATCCAGAGGTGCGCTGCCAGGGTCAGCGCTCTCCTCAGGAAGCTTGACGAGATGACGGAGACGATGAAGGACGAGGTGATGCGTGACGCGCTGGAGGATCTGGCCGAATCCCTGGAACGCGCCCTCGAGCTCGTCACAGAGTGCCAGCGGAAGCACATCTTTCGCCGCTTCTTGGGAGCAGGGGACATGGCCAAGGAGCTGGGCCGGGTCCAGGATGATATAGTGAGGAAACTGCAGCTAGGGAACTTCGCCACCAATGTCCAGACCACCATCATGGTGACAAACATCCAATCTGCTGGTGGTCCTCCTCCTCCTCCACCCCTACCCCAACGGCAAGTGATTATTGATGGTAAGGAAAAGCTATCAAAATATCAAACCGTCTATTGCATCTTGGGTCCTTGTGCATCATTGGTTCAAGTAGCAGCGAGGATAATTTTATTCTGTGATCTAAATAAAGCATAGTGTTTTATTGCAACTTTACTAGATCTGTGTATCAAAGCGATGTTGCTCCAACAGTTTTCTTAGATCAACTGCTCCTACAGTTTCATGCATGCGTGTTTAGGTATTGATATAATCTAATTCAAGCCCTGTTCCTGTGTGGGTTTTTATACAATATAGGCTTCACAATGTTCAGTTTATCTGAATTGAAGGCCGCTACAGAGAACTTTTCGGACGGAAACAATATTGGAAGTGGTGGCACTGGTGATGTTTACAAGGTACTCCGATCGGTTACTTGGTTTGTTAATTCTAGGTTTGTGTACTTTTTCCATATAATCACGTAGGCATCACTAGCTAGTTGAATATTTCCTGTACAGGCAGAGACAGGTTAAGACTATTTTTTCTTGGTGTAGCAAGTAATTTAAAATTTAAATTTATGCTAAATATTACAAATTTGCTGTCCCAAAGTGCAGGGAATCACGCCTAAACCTAACCCTTGGCTGTTGTGTCCTCCGATAGCTCCTATAAGTCCTCCTTTGTGGCATTTTAGCTTCGGCTCATGGCAAGAAGCCACGAAAACTCCTGTCCATCGTACTCTACATTAGACAGGGAGTTTAGGGAAAGTGTCTTTCGTGCAACTCTAGATCTAGCATTTTCTCAAACCTCAAAGCACACGTGTGGTGCCCATGCTTCATTCCAGCCCAAAGACCAAAGTGAGCCAAAGATGAAACTTGATGGACTTCGATGAAGATTTTGAAGCCTGAGGCCAGGGCGCCATTGAACTTTTGGCGAAACTTTAGTGCTAAGATCAGCAGTGTAAAATCATAGGGCAATAGGGAAAGCGTGTCTTACCCCGTTAGGGGCCGCCCTTCGTGTTTATATAGGTGCATAATCCACACAAGATTTACATGAGCAACAACCTAGAGATAGCCGGCCAAAGAGTCCTAGATTACAACAACCAACTCTATCTACAACTGGACTCTTTGACCAATACTTATCAGGTTGTTACAATATGATTACATGACACGATAGGGACGAACTCTATCTCTAACAGCCTCCCTCAATCACAACTTAGATAAGTTGAGATTGACTTTAAACTTCTCCAACAGCCGCACGGACAAAGCCTTGGTGAAGCCATCTGCTATTTGATTCTTGGAAGAAACAAAATCAATCTCCAACAACTTTTGTTTCACACGGTCCCTCACAAAATGATAATCAACTTCGATATGTTTTGTTCTAGCATGAAACACTGGATTACTTGATAAATATTTGCTCCCAAATTATCACACCACAATTTTGCAGCTTGTGGACTATCAACTCCAATCTCCTTCAACAGAGTTTGCACCCATATATGATTTCTGCCGTGGCATTAGCAATGGCCTTATACTCAGATTCTGTGCTAGACCGAGACATAGTGACTGTTTGCGTGCACTCCATGAAACCAAATTAGATCCCAAGAACACTGCAAAACCTCCTGTAGACTTTCTATCATCTAAACTGCCGGTCCAGTCAGCATCCGAGAAAGCACTAACCAATGTAGACGATGACTTATGTATCTTTAGCCCAAGTCTCGTACACTGCTTTACATATCTCAAAATTCTCTTAACTGCCTCCCAATGAACTGTAGTAGGCGCATGAAGGAATTGACATACCTTATTGATAGAGAAGGCAATGTCTGGTTGGTCTTGTGAGAGTTAGATACTGCAAGGCTCCAACAATGCTTCTATATCTTGTAGCATCATTAGCACCCAATAATGTTCCTTCATACATAGACAATTTCTCACTAGTAGAGAGGGGAGTACTAACTGGCTTGCAATCTGCCATCCCAACTTTCTTCAATAAATCAGACGCATATTTTTTCTTGAGTGAGCACAATACCATCACGTACCTTATTTACCTCAATACCAAGACAATAGTGCAAATTACCAAGATCCTTGAGGGTAAATTCTTCCTTAAGATCACTGAGCAAGGCAGGCGTAGTCTTTTCTGTTGAGCTTGCAACAATTATATCATCTACATAAACCAGCACAAATATAGTGATGCCTCCCTTTCTAAAGTAAAACAATGATGTGTTAGCCTTTGAAGCCCTGAAACTGAGTCTAATCAATTTTTCACTAAGGCATGAATACTAAGCTCTAGGGGCTTATTTGAGTCCATATAACGCCTTATCAAGTTTGGACACATAACCTGGTCTTATCAAGTATGACACGATAGGGATGAACTCTATCTCTAACAAGCAGTTCTGCTTTTTCCCTTCTGTTCTTTTAAAAACAAAAATCCACCATCTGACATGGTGTTTATACTTCTCAGGGTGTCCTGCAGGACGGACAAGTTGTTGCCATAAAAAAATTGCATGATGTCATGGACGACAGCTGGCTATACGATGAAATTAATGTTTTTGTAGATCTGAAGCACAAAAACATAATTAGACCTCTGGGATATTGCCACGAAGTGATAATGGTCTTGAACAGCCTTTATGGAAAATGTGTTAGAGCTGAACACAGAGAATTTTGTTTTGTAGAAGAATACATGGAAAACGGAAGTATGGAGAAGATTATCAACGGTATGTTGTTCTGTACAAATACTGGTTACAGTTCACCTCTGGACCAAGCATCCCTTAACTTTGATGTCACTGATCAATAGTTGCTTCTCGTTGCATGATATGTGATCTCTGCAGGGTCTCGATTTATTGGTTGGTCCTGCCGCTTCAAAATGATTCAGGGGATAGCCCAGGGGCTACATTACCTACATGAGCAACGTGTCGTCCATATGGATCTGAAACCAGACAACATCCTTTTCGATTCTGATATGAATCCTCGGATCAGTGATTTTAACATAGCTAAAAAGTTGGACCTTGGTGTTGAAAAATCCAGCGACACCAACATGGTTGGCACAATGTAAGACGTTGCTCCAATATATAAATACTATTTCCGTTACCTGATTAACTACATATCGTGAGCCCATACGTGCATGAAGCTCTTTTCTTTAACTACTTCAATTTTTACCTCTGATATCACTATTCATTTTTATTTTATTTAATCACCCAGGCCTTACATGCCTCCAGAATACATGTTCCAAGGAATTGTGTCAACGAAGTGCGATGTGTATGCTTTTGGCATCACCCTCCTCGGGACCATTATTGGCAGTATGAGCATGTCTACGCCCTCTGGTTTATGTGAATCAATTCAATGGGTAAGTACCTTGTAATAACGCTTTTTTACATTACAAAAGCAGTCGGAACTAAGGTCCTGTTTGGATCCACTAGCTACATTTTAGCTGGCTAAATTTAGCTGTTATGGATCCAAACATGATCCAGCTAAAGTTTAGGTAGCTAAAGATTCTTTTAGCCAGTTGAACCAAGCTAAACTAGTTAAAGACAAAATTGCCCCTCCACCTTCATCGGGAAAAGTTTCTAAAATGGGAGGGAAGGGTAGGATAGACAGCTACCTCTTCAACTATCATTTAGCTAGTGGATCCAACACTCCTAGCTAGTTAAAGTTTAGCTAGCTAAAAGAATGCTCCTAAAGTTTAGCTAGCTAAAATTTAGTTGGGTGGATCCAAATATGACCTAATTTATATTCTTACTTTCCAGGCTTTCGAAGCTCGGGACGATGTACGGATGGAGTTGTTTAAACCGTCATTGTGTTGCAAGTCTCAGCTAATGCAGATCAAGAAGTGCATGGAGGTTGGGCTCCTATGTGTTGAGCTTGACAAGGAACATAGACCCACCATGGCGGATGTGCTTGCGATGCTAAATGGTGTGAAAGAGTTGCCAGCTCTAAAGCGGCCATATCCATATATAAACTTCGACCGCCTCTGATTGCCCCTAAAGAAGAAACGTGTGCCTCTGGTGACGTGGCTTGACCGCTTGAATTACTTTTTACTCCCCTTCTCACTTGTATTGAAAAAGAAGGCCGGAGGCGTAACACGCCCTTGTCTAGAATTTGTATGGTCAGGCCATTCTTTAAGAATGTAAGATTTCATATTTATATTTTCAAGAATGGCATATAGTTAAATTAAGTAAGAGTGCATTTAGTTCATAGATAAATAGCTCATGCAATGCCTTATTTCATCTTTTGATGTGTTCAAGACTACATGCATTACTTTGTAACTAACTTATACATTCCTCCTTTCATGGATTCATAACAACCCCCCCCAAAAAAAACCCATAAAAAAATAATTCCATTGTATCCTTAAGCCCACAACGGCGACTACGATTGATAAATGGGAAAAAGGGTTTGTGACGCTGAAAGATCCATGTTTTTAAAGTTTGTCATCAAATCACCTCGGTACACAAAGAAAGATTTTGCAACTTGAATTTTCACAACTCCTTCCAATTCAGACATTAACTTTATAATTGTTGACATCCCCCCCTAACCTTAGGCTTATAGTGTTCCTGCCTATCCGATCAGCCGTCCCCACCCGTGAGGCATCCAACGCGCCCAGGGACAGAGCCAGGATGAAACAATTAGGGGGCCATTTGCAGTATCTTAAGCAGAATATTTAGCTTATTTATGTTGACAAGGTTATTTACATGTGGAGTTTCATCAAATATTTAGCCCCTGACAGCCACCCCCTGTCTCCATCCCTGGTCACGCATCGCCTCTAGGTTCATTGAATGGACAATTGGGTCTATGTTCTAACCTGGATTATTGGTTCCTTACAACGAAGGCGGCATGCTGCATGCCATAACAAATGGTTTAACAATGAAACCCATTTTGTTGGTTAATGCTTAAAAAACACAGATTGAATGACTTGCTCTGCCGCGTACTAGAAAAATGCATCCTTCATTTTCAGCTGAGTACTCATCACGTCTGAAACTCTAAATGCAAAACACTCAACACACGTAGTGCTGTGATTAGAATACACTCAACACACATAGTATTGTGATTAGAATATACAATCCTGACAGAGTAATTAAGAATGATATGAATTTGAAAACACAGTCCTACCATAGTGCTGAGCGATATTATATATATCCTTGGCTCAGTAATCATCTGTATCCACAGCACAAGGTGCCTTACAGTTGACATGCCCACTACTAGAGAATTGAGCATTTGTCCCGGTTGGTAGGGCTCAAAAGTTCCGAAAATCCATCCAGGATTAATTTTTCGAGACAAAAGGGGGGTCCACCCAGGACTAAAGGCAGTTTCGAAAAAAAAAACTCTCATGTTAGTAATTCTCTATGAATGTGCAAGTGGTTTGTTTTCTATAAAAACAAGGCAATCGTTTTCTCAAATGTGCTACATTGTTAGTAATTTGATAGTTTTACAGAGGCAATGTGTCAGTATTGGCCGTTGCTAGAGGCTTCAGAACAGAAAGATTCAGGCCCAACTGAGCTTCTTGATTACTTTTGCAATTATATAGTGAAAATGTAAGGGAAATGAGTTTGTTGATCGTCTTGACAACTTGGAGCAGAAATGATAACACACAAAGCAAGGAGCCTGCACCTGCTGAAGTTTCCCACCAGTTCTTGTCTTGTTGGTGGTAAGCTACATGCAGTCACTGTTCACTATCTGGCAACATCCTCATCACGATATTGTCAAAGGGAAGGCAGTGGCTCTCATAACTGTTGGCCTGTTGCATGCTTTAGTTGCGTCCATTGGAGAAAGATACGATACGATAACAGATACATTTATGTCCTGTTGGGAAAACTGAAGAACCTCAGCACCGTTGAGGCAACCGGCGAAGTGGGTGTGTGCAAGATTGCTCAAGATCAAGATGGCAACGCCATTTTCTGTGCCTGACACATATGTCCTCGTGCCCTAGAGATGAAATTGTTGCATGGGATGGATTGTCGTCGGCTTTACTATGCTCTCATTTACTACTAACAGTGATGGAAACTGATTGAAGGACCGAGACGGTCGACCAAAGGGGGGTGAATGGGAGCCTTTGAAATTCTCTCTGAGAACAAGGCCTATGCTCTTTTTTCGCTTTTTTATCGGAATTTGACTCATTTTAGTATAGAAAAACACCATTCTATCCGACCTAGTAGGAAAAGTTACTATTTTGCATTCCTTAGGGAAAGTGGCGTTTTCAAGGGTCATTTTTTAAAAACATTTGTCCCAACCATGTGCAAAAGTAAAGAAAATAGCTTCTCCCTCGTAAATGGCTCCAAAATCTGCTCCATTTTTGAAAACTTGATAGCCAGCATGGGGCAAATTGGTACTTTTTTCATTTTGCTTGTAAATTGGCTCTTTTTGGCATCCCAGTTCTGCACTTTTTTATCTCCGTAGGGCCACCTCAAAACACACCTCGTGCCTAATCGCCAAGATGACCCAAGTCAACTCATAATAAGCTCACCGTAGGAACGATTAGGAACGCTCAAAGCGTAGCGGAAGCAAAGCACAACGTGACTCGGAAAAACTTGCGCAAACAAGATTAAGCAAGACCACTACTAACCACTTACTTAACTACACATGCAAGGATAAACGATTAATTGAAAGAGCTAAGCATGATTAGCGAGTGAGAGTTCTGATTAAGTTGCTAAAGCAAGTAACAGTAATTAACTAACAAATTGCATTGATTAAAGAGGCCGAAGATTTAGCTCACAATGCTATCAAAGATCTGGGCCAGCTTTGGTGGGTGGAGCTGAGCCGGCAAGTTGCCTAAAAGTACTGTGCTCTGCTGGCCGGCCTGGTGGCCCGCTCGGCTTGCTGGACCGCCTTGCGTCCGCCTCCACTGGGCCGCCTGGCCTGCTGGCGCTCGGCTGGACCGGAGTGAAGCACTGGGCCACCTGGCCTGCTGCAGCTCGGCTGGGCCGGAGTGGAGCGCCCGTGAGAGGGAAGCCGGCCTGCTGGGCCGTCCGTTCGGCTGAGCCTGCACGCTGGTCGCTGCGCTGCGCACGCGAGCGCTCTGCGCTCGCCGCCTGCCCCGCGCCCGTGCGAAGCTGCCGGTTGGCTCCTTCCTCCCGCGTTCGAACAGAGAAGGGACGAGCCAAGAACACACCAAAAACCCAAACTTCAACCGAATAATCCTCCCTCAGTACACAACTATTCGAGACGAAACTTAAGCCAATAATGCACCACCTCAAGGGCTAATAGATCCATGAAAAAGATCTCGAAAAGCTCAAGTATTGATCACGGATTTTGGAGAGAACCGAACGCCCTACGAGAACACGGTTTTCGGGAAAACTTCGAATTCAAACCAAATTCGTGAGGGATTTGAGGAGGAACACATCAAAGTTGCTCACAAGGGTCCTAGTAACAAAAGTCCCCAACAGATCTCACGGGATTTGGGCTCAAACACGAAGAACGAAAAATCGCCAAAAATACATCCGATAATCCCGAAAAAGAAAAAACGAGAAAAACCTCAAGACCACAAGATTTAGCCATGAATTTAAGAGACAAATTCAACAATATCACGAGGACAACATCTATACAACAAGAGGCCTAGCCTCCACCCTTCATCCTCCCCTAGGAAGGAGAAATCCGAAGGAAGTGCTCACACTCTCATCTCTCTCCTCTCTTAAGCACTTGGCTAGCCTCTAACAAAAATAAAATTAGAGTTCCAAGCTCCAACCCAAACCAATCAACTCGAGTATATATATGATCCATGGCTGATGACGAAAATACCCCTACAACTACAACTAGGATAATTGCCCACGCAGGGGCGTTTTGGTCCAGATTTTTGTAGACGCATCGGACGGACACGCCACCTTCACGACTTTGCTTCGCCTCGACGCAAACGATTCTGTTGCCAAGTCGATACTGTTGCTGGGACGCTGCATTGCTCCCGCGTAGTTATTGGTGAAAGCTTGCTTCAAATCTTGCCAAGATTTGATAGAATTGGGCTTCAAGGACTCGAGCCATGTCGATGGCGCAGTTTCCATGCATATGGGACAATAGATGACCTTTGTGTCATCGGTACCCCCTGCAGCTTGGATTGCTAATGAGTAGCAGCGCAGCCACTGAACTGGATCTTGCTTGCCATCGTACTTGGAGATGCCCAGGGGTTTGAATTTCTCGGGTAGTAAGGTTCTTCTAACCCGACTAGTAAAAGCTGGAAAGTTGTCATTGTCGTCGCCCTTGTAGTCAATTTCGAGTTCTCGTTCGCGACGCAAATTTCCGATGATGTTGCGTGCGACACGATTGTTGTTTATCCTGTGTCGAAGATCTTCAACGTTGCATGAGGGTTCAGGATCAGCTCTATGGTGGCGCGCGCCTCCCCTAGAAGCTGTTCGACTATCTTCAGGCGCGTCTCCATTTTGCCTGGGGCCTTCGAGTACATCACGGTTTTGCCGTGGGCTTTCAATCGCGCCCCGGTTTTGTCATGGAGCTTCGATTGCTTCCCGATTCTGTCTTGCGTCGTCATGAGGTTGAGCTGAAGGACCTGCATGGCCTCTGCTGCTGCCATGCTGACTGCGTACTAAAGGGGTACGAGATACTAACGGGATCGAGCTCTGTTTGTCGAGTAGTTCATAAGCGTGCTCCGCCAGCTGTGATAATACCGCAGTGTACTTTTCTTGAGGCATGGCGCGAGTGATGAGGTCAATCGAGGCGATGGTGGCTAGTGGCTGTAACACCCCGGGTGTTTGCCACCAGTTAAGCAATGGGTTTGAGCTCGAACATGGCATATTAAGTGATGATGAAGATGTCAAGGTCCAACCTATAGAAACGAGCCCCAACCTAAACTTGGATATTGCACCTTTGCTCGTCTATAGACCCCTTTTCAAGATATATGCTTGGGTGGTGTTATTGGAATATCTTCGTGTGTCTCACATCAATAACCATCTATATTGATCCATGAAAAAGTTTCGTGAAGTTTGGAATCAAGAAGTCACATGAAATGACGAGTTATGTCGTTGCTTGAATTATTTTA